CCCCCGCCCGTGGGGTCCAGAGTGCCCGGGGTGGGGGGCGAGGCCGGGCGGTGCCGAGCCGCCCCCCCATCCCGCACGCACCCCACGTTCCGCTCTCGCGTGGGAGTGGGAACGGGGATTTTCCCGGTGAATCATCCCGGAGCGTGTCCCGGCGCCCCACGGGAGCACCCCGGGACCCCGTCCCTCTGCGGGGGGGGATCACCCGTGGGGGGCACCCCCGGGGGGCTGGGCACACTCAGGGCCCGACACGCGGGGAACCTGGGGAGGGAGCACACCAGGGGGTCCGGCACACCCGTGTCCGTGCTCACCAGAGGGGTCCGTGCACACCGGGGGTCTGTGCACACCGGAGGGATCTCCACGCACCCAAGGGGTTCCCACACACTCATGTCCCCGCACCCCCGTGTCTGTGCACACCCGAGGGATCTCCACGCAGCCGGGGAGTTCCCACACACGGGGGGGTCCCCACACACCCAGGGATTCCCACACACGAGGGGGGGTCCCCTGCACACGCGTGTCCCCGCACACCCGAGGGATCTCCACGCACCCAGGGGGTCCCGCACACTGGGGGTCCCCGCACCCACGTGTTTGTGCACACTGGGGGGCTCTGCACACCCGGGGATCCCCACACACGACGGATCCCCGCACACGCGTGTCCCCGCACACCCGAGGGTTCTCCACACACCCAGGGGGTTCCCGCACACGGGGGATCCCCGCACCCCTGTGTCTGTTCATCCCCGTGTCCCCGCACCCCCGTTTCCCCACACACCCGTGTCCCTGCACTCCCGGGAATCTCCACGCACCCAAGGGCTTCCCGCACACGAGGAGGGGTCCTGCACACGGGGGGGGTTTCCGCACACGGGGGGTCCCCACACCCCCGTGTCTGTGCACTCTGGAGTGTCCCCGCACCCCCATATCCCCGCACACCCGGGGATCCCCACACACGAAGGGGGGGGGCGTCCCCGCACACCCGAGACATCTCCACGCACCCAGGAGGTTCTGGCGGGCGGGAGGTCCCCGCACCCCCGGGTCCCCGCACACGCGTGTCCGTTCACACCCGAGGGATCTCCACGCACCCGGGGGGTTCCCGCACACTGGGGGTCCCCACACCCACGTGTTTGTGCACACTGGGGGGCTCCGCACACCCGGGGATCCCCACACACGAGGGGGGGGTCCCTTGCACACGCGTGTCCCCGCACACCCGAGGGATCTCCACGCACCCAGGGGGTTCTGGCGGGCGGGAGGTCCCCGCACCTCCGTGTCCCCGCACACGCGTGTCCGTTCACACCTGAGGGATCTCCACGCACCCAGGGGGTTCTGGCGGGCGGGAGGTCCCCGCACCTCCGTGTCCCCGCACACGCGTGTCCGTTCACACCTGAGGGATCTCCACGCACCCAGGGGGTTCTGGCGGGCGGGAGGTCCCCGCACCTCCGTGTCCCCGCACACGCGTGTCCGTTCACACCTGAGGGATCTCCACGCACCCAGGGGGTTCTGGCGGGCGGGAGGTCCCCGCACCTCCGTGTCCCCGCACACGCGTGTCCGTTCACACCTGAGGGATCTCCACGCACCCAGGGGGTCTCCGCACACGGGGGGGTTCCCGCACATGGGGGGGTTCCCGCACACGAGGGGATTCCCGCAAACCCGTGTCTGTGCACACTGGGGTGTCCCCGCACCCCCATATCTCCGCACCCCCAGGGATCCTCACACACGAAGGGGGGGGGTGTCCCCTGCGCACGCGTGTCCCCGCACACTCGAGACATCTCCACGCACCCAGGGGGGGTCCTAAAACGGGGGGGTCCCCGCACACGAGGGGGGTTCCCGCA